ACTATAGCTGCTTTTGTCATTATTGATCAGCCTGTCAGCTTTTAAGTCAAAAGTTCTTTCTCCAAATACCAACAGGTTGGTCCTTGACTGTTCTATTACCATGGCCAAAGCCTCCCTCCCCAGGACAGGAAGACCAATAGTCTCTGAGGCTCGCTGTACCTCCCTTCCCATGTGGCTGTTGAATATTTAGGTGCCCCACTGAAGAAGAGCTGTGTCCTTAGGAGTTAGGAATACAGGCTGCCCTGCATGGGTGTGAAAGTTGAAAGCAAGTCCAGAAGAATTTGTATCTTACTATTTTAAAGTCCCCAGGACTGTTTTAGGATTCTGATCTTTGATTGTAGTTTAAAACTTTATAAAGAATACCAGGGATGAAAGAAAACTGCTATGTGCCCAACTAATCTTTTCAATAATATGACTGGTAAAATAAATGATTCCTAAACTGTGTAGTGTAGGAAAACAAACAAACTCACCCAGGGCACATTGCAATGCAGATCTCCATTTTCTTCTCCAGAAACCAAGTAAGCAGGCATGGAGACCTGGTTTCCTGGTGTGTACAAGATTACCCTCCATGGTTGTGATGTATAGCAACCACACAGTATGAAGCACTGACGAGCACCACCTATTGGCAGTGTCCTCTAATTGCAGGCTTCACAGAGCTGCTAGAAATCTTAAGTGTATATTGTAGTTGAACAGGCAATCTTGGCCTCTGAAAACAATAAACTGTTGAGATGTGGTAGGTTGATGTAAAGTTTTTCTTCTGACCTGTAGGTTCCACAAACCACTTTCCAGAATGATGTCTGGATTTTAATATTTACTAATATTTAAATAACAATTTATATACTCAAGGATAAAAAATGAATTTCCATAATTTTCCAGCCCAAGCAAACACGAATGAAAATCCTTCCAAATGTCTAAAAGTTTCTTTGCTTAGTGTGATGAACTTCTAGCAGGGTGTATGTCACCTGTGTGAGGTTGAAATGAACTGAAGAGCTTTCCCAGTCTGCTAGAAGGAAGGGGTACCTCTTACTACGAGAGATCATTCCTAAACCATGTAATACCATTCAAGAAATTACAACAAAAAGTCTATGACCTCATATGACCTCTTAGTATAGTTTTCAATGTTTGTATTACAATGGCAGTCTTCTTATATTTCAGAGAGGGTGCCAGACGGTACCTGTACCAGCTACCTGTCCTTGGACCTAACTGTCCATCTATGCTTTATATAAGAATGAGAAACCTCATTGGCTTAGCAGTTTAGTCCTTAGGCAAAGTGCTTATCAGGGCCTAAGGGAGCATGATCAGTAGCTGCTATTACTAATTTATCCCACTGTCCTGCATTATAGTTAAAGACCATCACCACTCAGCAGAGGACTTGAATATTGAAAAAGAGGGAGCCATGTGCACAACTCAACAGCAACTGGAGCTTCCAGTCATATTATATTATGAGCATGCAAGAAACTGGTGTAGCATTTGCAAGTAAACTGCAGCCCAACTACATGCAATTAACAAAGGACATGTTAGGCAGCAGCCCAACGTGAGGCTTTCCGACGGAGTTACAGATAAAGCAGAGAAAGATGGAAGAAGAGAGACTAATTCTAGCTGTGTTAGGGGAAAATAGGGCCAAAGGTCAAAGTAGATTGAAGTACACAATGTTTAATGACCCACCCACATTCATAACCAGTTGGAACGAAACAAACAAACAAACAAAAAACCCTCACTTCTTTCAACAGTATATAAAATAAGTGAGGACCGTGCTGTCCCTCAGTATAACTGTGATCTTGTGATTCTCATCTGCAACTCTGCTCCTTAAATGCTTGTCCTTATGCTTTCAGCAAAAGAGTCACCTCTGTGTCACAGGATCCTTCATGGCTTGTCCCCTAGCTCACTCTCTGTTGCTGAAGACATGCTGGATGAAATAATGTAGGACTTAGGACTTCTGCCCTGCCCTCCCTCTCCCCCTTCCCTCCCACCCTCTCTTCCTGTTTCTGTCTTAGAGGATGAATAAACAAGGATGGCTTTTTAAAGCTTGCATCTCATAGGTAGCATTTTGGTATAGTCCCCAGTTCCTTCAGTACACATGACTATCCTTGCCTAGGAGCCATTCTTGATGATCGGTTATTTGCGTTGGCTGTTGCTTGGGATTGTCCATACTGGGCGTTTCCAGTGGACAGCAGATGAACCTGGCAGTGGAAGGTTCACTGGCTGACAGCCAGTGCTGATTTCCTCCTAGAGGAGAGAACCTCCACTCCTTTTCCCCTCCTTTTCCTTCTCCTTTCTCCAATCCTTCCTTCTCTTCCCTTTTCTCCCCTCTTCTCTCCTCCCTTCCCATCCCATCTTGTTTTCTGCACTAGGGGATGGAGCTTCCCAACCTGAGACACTTGAACATGATGTTTAGAGAGGAACCTACACTATCTTCCATTCCTAAGAGCTCAGCCCCTTCACCTCTCTCACTCCCCCCTACCTTTTGTCTTGGAATGAACCTTCTGATTTTCAGGCCACTTTTATCCCTTCCCGCCTTCTCCCTTTGTCCTTTCCCTTTTTAAAAGTCGACTTTGCTAGGCATCCATCTTTCCTTTTATTTTATGCCCTCCTTAGGGTTTGATGCTCTACAGTGGAGAGACACTGCGGTGAAGGATTTTCTGACTGCTGCTACTGGCTTCCTAAGAGTCCTGCATGCATCCTTAGGACCGTGTCTCTCCTGTATCCCGGGCATTTTTTTTCCTTTGGCCTGGTGGGTCTTTTTGTTGATGGCTGTGTCCTTCAAAATTAAGTGCAGGCAGCAGAGGGTACTTTTATTTCAGAACATGGGGAGGAGCAAGAGAGTGACTGAAAGTGAGAATTAGGTCAAGACTCTTCAACCTGGAGAAATGTGGGTGGGTCAGCTTGATAGCCCAAGAATAATTGGCTAGGATAATCCTTAGGGCACAAGTGAGGGAGGTATCTGAGAGTTGGATTTTAATCAAGGAAGACACTGGAAAACAGTAGCCCTTGACCATCTGAACCTGCCGTCTAACTTTTCTTCCAAAGGCTGGCTGGGAGACTGCAAGCTGCAACTGCTCCAACCTCTTAAGGTCAGAGTTGTTCATAAAATAATGGTCCGTTGAAAATAAACAATAATAACAAAGAATATGCCTTACAGTGTGTGCATGGTGATAGAGTGGGTGTGGGACATGCTGAGTCTTTGAGGCCTTTCTAAGATTTGATTTTATAAATGAAAAGTACCCTTGAAGAGACATTGTCAAAACTGTGAAAATGTCCGAGGCACTATATTATCCAAGAATTAACAAAACAATTGACTGGGTCCAGGGTTTCAGAACTTAAAAGTGTACCTTTGTTCTTAAAATAAAAAGCACACCCCCACCCTCGCCCCTGCATCCCAATCTCACTATATTATTGCCTGGTACTTATAATTGGAAATGAATTAATTTTTGAAGGAAATGGATTTTTTCTCTGCTTCTCATATGAAATTAATACAAAGTATCTGCAGAGTCTCCTTGAGCAATTGATGTGTCGGAAATGGTTCTTCCTGGGGAAATGTCCAGGCTGCAGGGTGCTGCAGGAACTAGGTGACTATAGAGAGCATTACAGATGGCATGGGCACTGCTGCCCAGGTAGTACAGTGCCTGCCTCAGAGTTCCACTCTCTCCCGTCCTGATGCATTGGATGCCTCAATGGTTTAACTTTTCCTTGCCATGCCAACTGCAGCTGCTGGGGAAGGAGTGAGAAGAAGATGAGGGAGAACCACCATGATGCGTGGGTCATTCTGAACCTTTACTCAGGGGTGAAGTTGGTTATATGCCAGTGACAACCAACGCTCCCTATCCTTTAGGACTGAGCAGTGTCCCTGAAGGGAGAACCTACATTGTTGGGCGATGTCATTCTGTAAATGTGTGTCTGATTGGTTTGAATAAAGCACTGTTAGCCAATAGGGAAGCAAGATAGGTGGGACTAGGAGTAGAGGAGGATTCTGGAAAAGAGAGACAAAGGCAGGCACGATGTAGTCTGCCAGAGTAAGAGGTCCAGACCCTTTTCTCAAGTAAGAGAAATACTTAGATTAACAATTATGGGTTAAATACTTAAGTCAGAGATAGCCAGTAAGAAACCAAGCAAATGGTCAACAGCTTCATAATTAATATAGTGTCTTGTGTATTATTTGAGGGTTAAACCAGCAATTGAACCCAGGAAGGAATCCTGCAATACTACATGGTTAATTCTAGCAGTCCCAAATAAGCCAGGACAGGCAGCCATCATAACAACTGCCTTTAGACAGCTTTTAGAGGTTGGAGCCTTTAGTCACCCAGGAAGCTCAGTAGTACCTGCACCTTAGACTTAGGTACAATGTGATTGCTGCTTTCTGTTTTTGTTGGTTTTAGAGTAGCACCTGTATCTCTTCCTTTCTTTGTGTTCAGAGAAAACCACTGGCACACTACCCTCAAAGAGGCAACCTCCTTCCCATGCCCATTATCAGAACCCACAACAAGTACTGAGAACTAAGGAACCCCTACAGACATTTACAGAATGTCTCCGGGGTTCCTGGGCAGACCCTCAGCCTCCTCAGGATCAGTCAGAACCATCTGTTTTGAAATCAGAACAAGAATTTTTACTGTCTTTACACACTTTCCTTAGGATATTCTGAACCTAGGTTTCCCAGTTCTTTTAAAAAAATAAAAAATTAGCAATATTGTTTTGGGTAGTAGCACCTGGAAATTAGACCCAAACTGGTCAAACCTTAATGACGATTCATCAGTGTCTGTCTTGGTTCTTTTAAGTGGTGTGAAGGTGGTTTCACCCGCTGTTAGGTGCAGTCTATCTAATTATAGTGCATGCAGATATGAAGACAAGTAGAAACAAAGGTCTCCATTATGGGGTCAAATCCAAGAGCTACTAAAGGTGTCTCCCATCCAGGGAGAGGATAGGGCAAGCCTTGTGGGTCATTGGCTCCAATTATTATTGAGAAGACTTGATTCCCCTTTAATGTGACACTATTTTACACACCATGAAAAAGTACAAAGTTCATTATTTACTAGAAGTTTACATTGCATACCAGACCCAGTCTAGAAAGATGACAGATGATTTCCTTCACCTAGAGGCCCCACCAAGACAGCACACTTTTTCTCTATATAGGTGGACTCAAAACGCTGAGAGAAACAATGGTTTTCTCAAGTTCCTGAGATGGTAGGTGGTACAGGATGAGCTGAACTCAGGTCTTCTTGCTGTGGGGCCCACGCCCCACCCTAGAACATCAGCTGCTCTTCTGTTTCCCTTGGAAGAGATTGACATTCAGGGAAGTGACTTGTCCCAGGTTCAGTTGGAGAATTTGAAATCCCGAGGAGACATTTGAGGTTCTAAAGCCCAACTTTCTGATTCTCAGAGAAGAGTCGGGGGTGCGGTGGGGTGGGGGGAGGTTCAGAGGAGCTGATATCAGCCCAGTGGCCTTTGAATGGGGTGATAAAGCCAAAGCTTGCCTCAGGCCAGAGCTGTGGTGTCCAGAACTGAGACCGCTTACTCTCTGCTGTCTTGGACCTCTTGTCTCTCAGAACCCTACTGCAGGTAATTAGAGTTGCTTCCCAGGCTGGTGCCTGGAACTTCTGCTTTCTAAAAAGAAAAAAAGAAGTAAATAATAGAGAATTAATGTATCTCTCTGTGAGAATCTGAGCATTCTTTGACTTCTTTTTTTTTTTTCCTTTTGTTGGTGGTACCAGGGGTCAAATCCAGGAGGCCAAGCATATAAGGCTAGCGACCTACCACTGAACTAGTCACAGATCCTTTGACTATTCCAATACTGGGGACTCTGCCTCCTTGACTTGGGCAAATTCTGGCCACTTTTATTCCCAGGTGCAGGCTGAGCTTGATTAGAAGTATAGACTGTGTGACCTCCAGGACAAACCACAGGCCCCATGTTGTATTACTAGGGAGTGGGCGGGGCTAGAGCTCCTGCCTGTTTGTCAACAATGCTCTGTTTGATAGAGTCCCTCCAGCTGTGGCACATGAGGAACCTGGACTGTGATTACACTCAGGTTCCTGGGCCTTGGGCCTGAGTTGCAGCCTTAGAAGCTGGGGATGCTGATACACGCTTGTAGAACTCTAGGGGACCTCTACTCTGGAACATGTGGCCCTCATCAACCTACGGTTTTGATTTGCATGGTTGTAATCACTTGGGACCATCTGAAACTATTTAATGGAAAACTCCCCATCCGTGCAATTCATGTTTGAAATGAATCATTATTGTATGTGGTTACATCTATGCTATTTTATTGTTATTGTTGTTAATCCTAACTTGTGAATTAAACTTAGTTGTAGGTCTGTGTGTCTAGAAACAAACGACATATAGAAATTATGTGTATTAGTGGTTTCACATGTTCACGAGGATCTTAGTTAGGGCACATCCCATCAAATAGGGGATACCACTGTAGTTATCACAAGCATCTCATCCATACGAGAGCCAGCTTGTCGTCTCGACGACCTTGGATATTTGAACATGGCTTTGAAAAGGTTTATAGCTTTTTTCCCAAAGCATTAATTTATCAGGAAAGCACAAATGACTGTACCAGTTAAATCCATCTATTGCCAACTTATTTTCCATTGTAAACATGAAAAACAGGTTCTATAACTTGTTATGCATAAATTTGGTGAGAGGCACGTGAAATCAAGTATGACAATTGCACAGTGGAGAGATACTTACCAATGACATATCTACAGAGGGGGTGTTACCTTTACCCTCACAAGAGGCACTGCAATACTCCTGGCTTTTGTAGAATGAGTTTCATGTCTTTGATACCTGGGCCATCCAAGCCTGACTCTGAAGCCTGACTCTCCATAGTGACTCAGTCTCTGTCATTCTCCCCTTTGGGCAAGGGAAATTGAATGTCCCTAAGTGTGTTTACTGATTCATTCCTCTTACTGGAGGTCTTCCATGGCTAGAAAGTGTGTGATCCTGGTAGCACAACAGAAAATCCCCTCTAAAATAACTAATCGATCAAAGGCTCCAAAAGTTAAGGTGAGAGGAATCACCTTTTAAGCTGCAACCTTCTTAATGTGCAGAAGCAAGCATTTGCAGCGTGAAAACCGTCCCAGGGAAGGAGGCACATGTTGTCCCTACACCTCCACAGATAATTGTCGGGGATGATGTGTCATTTATTTCTTTCACAGGAAACTTCAGGGAAAGGAATGCATTCAGTGAAATGGAAAAAGAAGGAATGCAAAAACGTGTTTTTAATTACCGAGATGAAATAAACTGTGAAAAAAAAAGCCTCTTAGCAGCTTTCCTGATTAAATTTGATGAACAATTTAGTCAATCGGGGGAGGGGGATTTACAGATCTATAAAAGAGCACACTTCCGGCCGGGCAGTGGTGACACATGCCTTTAATCCCAGCATTTGGTAGGCAGAGGCAGGCGGATCTCTGTGAGTTCTTGGCCAGCCTGGTCTACAAAGAAAGTTCCAGGACAGCCTCCAAAACAATACAGAGAAACGCTGTCTCGGAAAACCAAAAACCAAAACAAAACAAAAAAAGAAAGCACACTTCCTTGGACACTGAAAAGGCATCTTTAGTCAAGTAGCAGATTACATGGAGCTTGGAGCCGGGAAAATGATTGGAGGGTGTCTTGAGATGGCTGTGCTGTGGCCCCTCTCCAAGCCCACCCCTCTCTTGTTTCTTGAATTATTCCATTCAATTCTTAACAGCACTCTTCTCACCTCAATAGAGAAAAGGAGGAGGAACAAATGTTCCTTCCTTTGCAGTCTGCTGTTTTAGGAGGGATTTGAGTTTGTCTTTGAATATAATTTTACTTAATTTGCTTTCCCATGCAAATCTTTATTCTCTGTCTAATTTTGGTCACTTCTCTGCAATGCTCTTTCACAAAACAAAAACAAAAATAGATGCTACTGTCACTGAGAAGTTTGGTGTCCCCAATACCCTAATTGTTCTTAAACATATTCTCTTTTATATCTGAGAACTGTGGTAGCTTGGTCTATTAAGTGTCATTCCCTCAGCCCCCATGGTGCATCTATTATAATATGTCTAGTGCAATTGCATCCTGAAGTTTTGATTCCTCACAAAAGTGGTCCTTAAACAGCTAAAATTCCTCCTGGCTGTTCACTATTTGTATTATTCTCTTTTCCAGTTATGTTGGCTACTTTCTAAATTTGAATAAACTTTACAAGTTTGAATGCTCATTTTAAGTCCTTTGAGAGCCGGGCGTTGGTCGCGCACGCCTTTAATCCCAGCACTCGGGAGGCAGAGGCAGGCGGATCACTGTGAGTTCGAGACCAGCCTGGTCTGCCGAGCGAGTTCCAGGACAGCCTCCAAAGCCACAGAGAAACCCTGTCTCGAAAAACCAAAAAAAAAAAAAAAAAAAAGAGAGAGAACCTCTCATATCGCCTATAATCATTCCTTGCATCTAGTGTTTTAAAATAGCCCTTCATGTATGTAATGTGTTTTCCTATGTCTGCATTCTTTAATCAAATATATTCCCAGGAGTGAGGCATTAGTATTTCCAGTTCTTGAGATAGTTTGTAGACCCAGTATGTTCTAGCATATGAGTGCTATGTTCACTTTTGATGTTGTCAAATATCCATCATTTTCATTACTGAATTCTGTTTGCAATCTTAAAAGTTACAATATAGTAACTGTTCCTTTGAGTTTGTATCTCTTTAATAACTGGTAAGGTAATGTCCTTTCTAGAACATGTATTTGCCATTTAATCTATAATTTTTTTTGGTATTTTGAGACAGGGTTTCTCTGTATTGTTTTGCAGGCTGTCCTGGAACTAGCTCTGTAGACCAGGCTGGCCTCAAACTCACAGAGATCCGCCTGCCTCTGCCTCCTGAGTGCCGGGATTAAAGGCGTGCGTCATCAATGCCTGGCTTGATCTATAATTTTAAAATGCCACTTTAGATTAATTTAAGGAAATTTGAGTTTATTGGCTATACTCTAAACGGGTAGGAAGGGAGAGAAGAAGTAAGGAGAGAGAGAGAGAGAGAGAGAGAGAGAGAGAGAGAGAGAGAGAGAGAGAGCGAGAGAGAGCACTTGTGTTCTAACAATAGCCATTGGCAGCTTGTGACCTTGCTCAGATATGAGCCCATCTTAGAAAACCTGTCCAATTTAAAATTAGATTTAAGTAGGGGACAGTCCAAATGCATAGGCTTTAGGAACCAAGCCTTCTGTTTATCTATGCTCTGCTTCTTTGTTATGAATGTGTTTAATGTTACCATATGTTGTTCTCCCTTTGAGATGGGCGTCTTGCCATGTGTACAGCACTTTGAGACTATTAATTACTCTGTATGGAGTAAGTTATTGTATGGTAAGTGTCTTCTCAGAGGACTCCATCTCTCCACAAGAACTGGGTTCTAGTTTTGTAAGGGTTTAAATGGGCTACTTCTTATTTTGAAGCATGCAATGGCAGCACACATGGACACAGTTAGCCTTTATAATCCGGCCCTCTACTGGGGCTGGAGAATTTGAAGAAGACATTAGTCATTGGTGGTAACTACTAGAAAACTTTAAATTGCTGCATGGCTTCAGCTGTACTTGGGGATGTTCGGTAGTTCTAGCAAATTTGTTTGGTGTTGAATGTTAACGAAAATCATCAGACTTAAAGAGCTGAGCAGTGTATCCCCGGCCTTTGAGTAGGACAGCCAGCGGGTGTGGCTTTGTTCGGGCCCTCACTTCTTCAATCATTCATTACTTCATGCATGAATCCAGCTCATGTTTATGGAAAGACGGTGGTGCTGGGCACCCTGCTAAGAGCTCAGGTTCAGGATGGTTGAAGGAAGGAAATGCAGCCATTCCTGACTGGTTTCCTGCTGCTGAGTCTCTGAAGTCTATTAAACAGCCCCATCCAAAGGAAGCAAACTTTCCTTAGCAAACTAACTGACTAATTCAATGCCCTACCTTCCTCCTTTCCTGGACACACACAAGCTGATAAGATTCTTGAGAGAAGAAAGGAGTTGGAGAAACACAGGTGGCTTCAAGATATGCACTTGGAGGATCTGGAACAGAACGGGGAAGGCTCAGAACCAGAACTAGCTGAAGGCCTGGCCCAATAGAACCTCTGTGAACTGTAGACGATGATTTGGTTAATATCTTCTGATGGCTTTTCCATGTGCTAAGTGAACTGTAAAGAAGTTGAGGGCCAGTCAGAGGCTCTTGGAACATTAAGTGAGTGGGGGTGATACAGGCTACCTTAGGTCAGATTGTGAAGGGGGGGGCAGGATCTGGATATCACCTGAATTGATTGAATTGGTGAAATATTGTGAGATGGGGAGAAAGAATGAATCACAGCTACTGTTTTGGTCTTCTTTATTTGTTTTGGCCTTTAATAAAGAGAGAGGAAAGGGAGGATTGTGGAAGCATTTAAGTGTATGAATACTAGAGGAGAGAATATGAGACTAACCATTTTGCTAAAACTTATCTGAAGTTACTTTCATCTTGAAAAGTAGTAAGAAATCAGTTGGCTATAGCCTGTTCCTCACTGAATATACATCAGATTCTTTTTTTTTTCACATTAGATTCTTAAAGATGTCAACCTTCTTTAGAATGATGTGAGTCTGTTAAAACATGAGAGAAAGCTATGACAAAGAAAACTAATGTATTGTAAATGTCAAACATGGGTTTTTCCTTCCATTGCTGTGATGGTGAGAATCACAGTTAGCACTCTCAGAGTTCTCACTATGTGTCAATCGCTGCTCTGAGAACTGTGCAAATATACACCATTTAATCCTCACAACCACCACAGCACACAGAGCCTTCCACTTTCTCATTTTACAAACAGGACACCAAGCCATTAGGAGATGGGTACTTGTCCAAGGTTATGCTGATGATAAGTGGCTAAATTAATATTGGAACCTGAGAAGCTTCCAATATTACATCATAGTGCAAAAGAAAATACTACAGAAGTAAGTTAGCTTTTATCCATGTTGAAGATCTAGTTTTAATAAAAGCTTATTGAATTTCATAACCTCTAAGCACACGATAATCTCAGTATCTTTGGAGTCTAATGTTAATGAGAGCTGTTGTACATATTACAGTCAGGGGTTGGGGGAGAATGTGTGAGAGGGGGTAGTTCATGAAAGCTAGAGAATGAGAAAAGGGTTACTATCTTTTTTTTGTGGAGATTTGGGGAAGTATTTGTATGCCCACATAACAACACACAATTCCACAGAAGTCTAATAGGATGGACTGACGATAGAGGTAAAGAATCTGGAAGCTACCACCCCAGGCTCTCTATAAACCTTCAGGAGCAGAGGAAGTTCTGCAAATGGGTCCCACTGTTCTTAGGCCACCAATATTGGCCCTCTTTCTTTCTTGTGGGTTCTGTATCATCTCATACTGTCCCCAATGGATGCTCCCTTCTTCACTTAAGAAGTTTGGAGGAAGATGATGGCTGTGACTGTAGACACTGTGATTCTACTAATGGAGAAGGCAGACTCATTAGAACCCTAACTTTTTATCTCCTGAGATGTGTCTGTTCTCCCCTTAAGCCTCTTCAGGTAGTTACTTCTGCCACTGTCTCTAGGTGGCAGTGTTTCCCCTTTAACAATGCCCTGGAAGACCACATATTTGTAATACTCACAGTGTGATGAAGTAAGTCTGAAAATTGGACATAAATCTTCAAAGTAGGACGCTAGCCAGAAAAAACCTGCCACACACACTGTGCAATGTAGCTGTTTATCATCTAATTTATGGCCCTGGCCTACTACCCACAACCTATAGACCCAGTTGACCCTGTCCATTTCCTCTTGTCAAAAGGCCCAGCAGCCTGTGTACTGCTAATGTAAAGAAACAGAGAGTAGAATATGTCCCTCTTGGAGACTACTAGAGAAGACAAGCTTAGGTTGAAGGAGCCAGAGAATCCTGTTTAGTATATTGTTTATGCAAAGGCAATAAAACAAGGTTATTCTTCAAAGTCTGAAACCTTAGAGAATTAAAAAGGGAGGTTCTTGCAATAGAAACAATAAAGAGTTGGAAGCAAAAGATGTGACATGAAGCCTAGGACAGTGTGACTGACTGTGAGGACATGGACTGTTGGGCTGGGCGCCATATTGTTGCGGATTCCTGCCTGCGTTCCATTGTTGGTTTAGCCTCCAAATAACACACAAGACCCTGTATTAATTATGAAGCTGTTGACTGTTTGCTTGTTTCTTACTGGCTAGCTCTGGCTTAATTATATAATCTATAATTTGTAATCTAAGTATTTCTCTTACCAGAGAAAAGGGTCCAGACCTCTTACTCCTCTGGTGTCCTACATTGTATCTGCCTTTGTCTCTCTTTCCCAGAATCCTCCTTGACTCTTAGTCCCACCTATCTTGCTTCCCTATTGGCCAACAGTCCTTTATTGACATATATACAGGACTTCCCCATCAATGGACATTGTGACTGTGACTGTGAGGACATGAGACAGGTGATATGAGGTCAGAGAAGAAAGCCAGCATCATCAAACTCTGGATGTAAAGGATGAATGGTTGAGAACAGTTAGGCATGGATTCTGATTTTGAGTCCAAAATGCATAGGAGGAGATGGAAGGTGGGCAGAGGTGGCTGTCCCCATGGCAGAGGAAGACCTCTGTGGAAAGCACCATGTGTGCAGAGCTGTCCTATGTGTTTCTGGGAACCCTGAAAACTCGGGGAGTCTGGTGCTGAAGGACAGACAATGGATGTGATGTTTGCCAAGGAGGAAGAAATGCACTAGTGACTGTCAGCTCTCAGGTAGTACCCCTATATTCACAAGCTTTATTATACTCGTCTCCCCAGTATTACCCACAAGCCGGTGCACAGTCTCTGTTTCAAGCTCTCAAGGAAAACGGTGATATGTGTTTGGCTTTCTTTCTTTCTTTCTCTTCTTTCTCTTTTTCTTTTCCAAGCAGGACAATGATTCTTTGAACACAAAAGCAATTTTGGTAAACATCCCTCATTGGATGCTTGCTCACTGAGCAAAAACAGGCCCAGGCGGCTCAGATGCAGAGCAGGGAGTGACAGAACACTGGCCTCAGGCAACACCTCCAGACACTGCTGAGTACACATCTCCAGAAGAAGGCTGTGCATTCATGATGTAAACTGGGCAAATAAAAGCCAAACCCAGGCCGGGCGGTGGTGGTGCACGCCTTTAATCCCAGCACTCGGGAGGCAGAGGCAGGCGGATCTCTGTGTGTTCGAGGCCAGCCTGGTCTACAAAGTGAGTTCCAGGACAGCCTCCAAAGCTACAGAGAAACCCTGTCTCGAAAAACCAAAAAAAAAAAAAAAAAAAAAGCCAAACCCAAGACAGTAACAAAGACCTGGGGAAGTTAAGAGATTTCTCAGGAGAGGATGCCACTTGTCTCAGGAGGTCATGGGCAGACCAGGAGAAGGACTGTCCCTGCAGGTCTGGGAATTCTATACAGGAAAAGCCTGAAGACTATAATTAGAACCCATAACTTTCTTTTTATTAAAGAAAGATATATTGTGCAAGTTTTCAATCATCCTAAAAATAGACACTAGTATACCCATAACCCAGTTTCAAAAATGATGAGGCCAATTTTATTTTCTTTATACCCATTTTCCTACATCATTCTTGAGGCACATCCTTTTTGTATCATTTTATCTGCAAATATTTAAAGATCCATCTATCAAGTATCTAGTAAACATTCCGTCTTCTAAATGTCTCATAAATGTCACTTGTTCTTCCTTAGAAAAAGAATTTAAATCAGGTATACCCATTATGACTAGTTTTCATGTGTTAAAATCTGTGGGTCCTCCCTGTCATCTTTGTTTATTCCCTTAGGTGATTTTATGAACGAAAAATAAAGGTTGTAAGGACCTCCTTACAGCAGATTGGTAGAGATCTCCAAATCTGTTTCCTAGGCACAAAACTCCATTCTCTTTCTTGCCTTCTCTGTAGTTTGAGGTAGCTAGGAGACTGACTTCTGGCAAATGGGATACAGGAAAACCAGGTGGAACCCCACATGGCTGCCCATAAAGACCTCCCATGAACTATCTCCATTGCTTTTCTCCCCTTGCTAACCTTGGAAATCATGCATAGAATATGATGAAACCACACTCTTCGAGGAGTCCACACGCCCAAAGCAGGACTCAGGAGAGAGCTCCTGTCTGCCCAAGAAGATCCTCTGTGTTGTTATTAATGCTTTCATGTATTTGTAACACAGGTTGGCATTTCTTTAACAAAAAAACTTTTATATAAATCTGGTTCTCAATTCTGACTACATTCTAGAAAACACAAGAGAGCTTTTAAAATAGACGGATGCCTGGATCCCACTATGGGCAAATTTAATCTGAACCACTGGAAGAGGTTCAGAGCATTTAGAGCACAGTATTTAAAAATAACAGGACTGTGATTCATTATTGATTGTGGGGTTAGCTACCAAGTACCCCTTTTCTCTTCTTCCTGAGGTGATAGTTTGAAAAACCCCTGTATGTGTTTTATTTTGTTAAGTAAAGATGATAAGCAGTAGAAGCATATCTGATTGGCAGTCAAGGTTCTTGTAGATAGTGTATGTCCTTTCACCCTCCAGCTGCCTTTACAATACCACTCTGGGGGCACTTGTTTCTTGATGTGTTGTCTTAAAGCCCTCATTATAATCCTCTATGTACAAGGGCAGTTCTGCTGAGAAATGAGGAAATTCTAAAAGAGTGCTCTGTGTCTCATCAATGTGTCCCACTGGCTGAAACACACAGTAGTTTTCACTAAGTGGTTTTTTTTCATTCTGTAACATATCCACTTTTTATTCTTTTTTATTAATTTATTTTTTGCATTCCAATCCCAGATCCCCTTCCCTCCTGTCCTCCTGATCTCCCCCCCCCACCTTCCATCTGCTCCATGGAGAGGGTAATGCCTCCCCTAGGTAGTCTATTAAGTCTGTCTCATCATCTCATTGAGGCAGGACCAAGATACCTCTCTATCCCCACACTCCTGTGTCTAGGCTGGGCAAGGTATCTCTCCATATAGAATGGGCTCCACTAAGTCAGTTTGTGCATTAGTGCTAGATCTTGGACCCATTCCCTGTGGACTCATATATTGTCCCAGTCACTAAGTGTTTTTGATGAATGAACAAGTAAAATTGAACAAAGAAAAATATTACAGAAGCCACTGTACAGAACATTTCTTTTAGGTAAGAGAATAAAGTGTGAAGAGAAATAAATCAGCCACCTCCATGGAAGCCAATGTGAGAGGGCTTCCTGTAGATTGGGTCTGAAGGGGAGGACTATGGGGACTTTCAGACCCACAGTACTAGCAGAATCATGAGTTCCAAGTAGTGCCTAGTGGTAAGCAATTGCCCAAGTCCTGAAAGAGTAGAGTAGGAATGACCCAACTTGTGAATTAGCAGCAATATGGAGTCTCCTACTGCAAATTATTTGCTTTTTCCTTGCATTGATCAATATTTGCATCAGTGACAAAAAACTGTGGCATTGTGCCTCAGCAGTTGACACCATAGTAAACCAGTAGCTACTGACTGTATTTTTCTTAACTGTCTTAATCATTGTTCCAATGCTGTGAGTAGACACCATGACCAAGGCAACTCTTGCAAATATTTAACTGGGGCTTGCTTACACTTTTAGAGTCCATTATCATCATGGTAGGAACATGCAGGCAGGCAAGGTCCTGGGGAAGCAGGAAACAAACAGCAAGAGAGAAACACTGGGCCAGGCTTGGGCTTTTGAAACCTCAAAGCCCACCCCCAATGACACACTTTCTCCAACAAGGTCACACCCACTCCATACCTCTTAGTCTTTCTAAAGTAGTGCCACTCCCTGATGACTAAGCATTTAAATATATGAACCTACGGGGCCATTATTACTCAAACCTCCTCACTGGCCATGTGCTTATAGCATGTTAAAGGCAGGTTTGTTTTAGAATGCCCTTGTAGAAGTTGCATAAATTATTAGTTATTATAGATCTCTTCCTTTTGGTGTGTATCTTCTCACTACCAGTACCTGTTGCATCTGGAGATACAATGACTACCTCCAGGAAAAGCACCTCTGTGGTCATTTGAATTTCAAGCTGAACCAGCAAGTTTTGTGCATGATGGAATGACCAAAGAGCTGTCATACAGGCTTGAGGAGCAGGGAGGGATTGCCTAGAGAGTAAAACTAAACCTACTAACTTAAAAATTAGCTAACAACAAATAAACACACACACACACACACACACACACACACACACACACAGAAACAATACCCTGAAAAGTACTTTCAAGCATGGATTAGAATCTTGGAAATCATGAATCCTTATTGTTTTGATGGATGCAGCCCACATAAAGAAAAGGATTTGGGTTCTTTAATAATACTGAAGAGTGTAAAAAGGGTTCTGTGATCAAACAAAGGATTAAGTATCATTGCACCAGCCATTATCTCATTGTTCTGATGAAAGACACTGTGGTAGAGAGGCCAGGTATTAAGATCACTGGATAAGTTATTAATATTAGAAGTGACACTGCTTTGTTTTTCCTCAGAAGAAAGCACTCTTTGACAGAGCCCAGTAAGTCTTACTTAGATTAGAAATGTTTCTCTTGGGTACTCTCATGTCGTTGCAGCTGCTGTCAGTGAAGTTCTAAGCTTGAATAATGTATAGCCTGATGCACCTTCCAGAAACAGGTGATGTACCTTAGGATTTCTAAACTCTAAAATCTTCAGATTGATCTCAGATACATCATTTTTTGGGGAAAGTAAAGAAGAAAACAGCAACTACAAGAGGGCTGGTAGCCACCGAAAACTTACCTTCTGCTGGTGAGAGCTTGTAAATGGGGTGAGATGAAAGGGCTTTCAGCCTAGGTGACTACAGCAAGCAGGGTAGGAATGACGTCTTTGATGTGCCCAAAGGAGTGACTGTTGGGGTGGGGAGCTGGGTGCTTGAAAAGGCTCCGACCTGGGCTAACCAATGTAAAAATGCAGGATGAATGATGCTGAGGTCAAGTCATGCAGAACTGGAGGAAATGGCAGAAGGAGGGTGGTGCAGGTTTCGAGTCAGTATTGTTGATGTGCCTACACAGCATATAGTTCACTCAGAGCTGTCAATCATCTTAAAAGGACAGTGATCTAGATCGTCCAGATAGATCCAGTATAGAGGATCCTGCGCCCTACAGGCTCCCATTCTAGACCACACTTGCCCTGTTTGCCCCATGCACACAGAGGTCTTTGGAATTTCTGTCTACTCCTAGGTTTCCCTCAATGTAGAGGTCACCAGATTTCTTTATACAAACAACCTTCATTCTGTATATAGCCCAGGTTTGTCCTCCTGGGAGTAGACAGGCATCAG